GGCGGCGGAGCATGGGGCGGGACGGGGCAACAGCGAGACGGAGCGAGCTCAGGCGCGAGGCGACGGCGTGCGCGGGACGGCACGGCGAGGCGGTGGCGCACACGGGACGGCATGGCAAGCTCGGGGCGAGGCGGCGGAGCGCTGCGACTAGCCGGGACGGACCTTTGAGGCCCCAGAGGCCTTCTGCACGTTGGGCCCAGCTGCCTCATACACATGTCCATCCTTCGGACGTCCGTCCAATCGTTCCTCAAACTGTTCAAAACGGACATCCGGATAGAGTCTAGCGATGGAGTTAGCCTTAGTTTTCCAGGCAGCAAGCCTGGTAAGCTATCTCAAATAGTTTTCCGTCTCTGGTCCTATGCACTGGGCCAGCACATTAACTTTGACCAAATAACTTTGATCAAACCCATACTGCAAAAGCCACAGACCATACAGCATGCCAAAACCGACCTTTTCCAATTCAGCTCTAGGATTCAGCATGATACCGTGGAAGTAAATTTCATTGGTTCAGTTTCTATTACCTAACGATTTTTTATATCCGTGATCTGCTATAATCTGGTGCATCTCATTTTTATTCTAGTTTTTGCAAGAAAACTTCCAATATATTCAATCTCAATCATGACAGCACAAGAAACACCGAAGATTGAAAGAATCGAACCTGTAAACACCTAAACAAAGACGAACGAAGAGCGGATCCAAACAGATCCGTCGAAGACCAACACCGACCGAATCCCGTGAGATCTGACGGAAACACACCTTCACATGCCCTTCAATGAAGCTAAACGCACCATCGAGGCGAGGATAGAATGTGGGAGACATTATTCCTACCGAGGTACATCGCCGTCACACAGCCCCAACAAAGACGTTGAACATAACAAAAATGAGAACGGGCCCCTCCTACTGGCGAGGGGCCGAGGTCCTCTGCACGTCCATGGCCCAAAGGTCATCAGAGATGAGGTGGACCGGCGGCGGCGCCGACGGGAGGAGGAAAGACTTTTCTTGTGAGAGAGGGAAATACTTGACTTGAGAGAATTATATTTTTTTATGCGGAGAAATAATCTTATGCATCTCCTGTTATAAATCTGTAGTTTGTACTATATACAACATGGAGATAACTCAAAAATATATTTCCTGACAGTGTTAGGAGATGCTCACATACTGACAATGAATTATCAACCTAATAACCTAAACAAGTGTCTTCTTGAACAAACACCATAATGACACATCATAATCCTACATGTAAAAGTTGTTGAGCATGTTAACACACCCCTCCATTTTGAAGCTTACGTGACGTGATTAAGACCTTCTGTCCTTTGCTCAGTTCACTGCACCACACACATACCCATACGACCATATCCACGAAAAGTTATATCTGCGCACGCGCATCACCGAGCGCGCGCCTTCCCTTTCCTCTCCTCCTCCTCGTAGCTTCTCTTCCCGGTTCCTCCTCTCTCTCCCCGTCCCGTGCTCGGCCATGCCGGGCGCTAGCTCGCCGAGAGGCCGCGCCGGCGCCGGCAGGAGGTGGTGTGCGCGCGGGGACCTCCTGACCGTGGCCGTCGCCGCGATGCTCTGCTCGGCGACCTACTGCTTCTCCATATGGCACAACGGGCGCAACGCGGCGGATAAGATCGTCATCGGGCCCGCCTCCTTCGTCGTCGCGGGCGCCGCGCTGTGCGGGGGCGACGCCACGGAGCTCGACTTTGCGGCGCACCACACCGCCGAGCGGGCCGGGCTCTCCGTGTCGTCCTCGTCGCCGACGGTCACGGGGCGACGGGCATTGCGCGCGGTCGCGGTGCCCATGGACGGTACCGGGCGCCGTGGCTTGGTGTTGGCGGGGAACTCGGTTGGCAGCTCGGAGGCCGCCGACGCCAAGAAGAGGGCACGGGTCAACGGCGATAAGTTCCGGTCAACACACGCCGGTACCGTCCGCGCGTAGGCCGTAGCCATCTCCTGTCTCGTCCCGGCGATGGCGACGACGGAGCCATGCTATCCTGCCGGTCTTGGCCGGGGTTCCCAAGACGTGGTCGTGTGTTGCATTTCGAAGCTATACTATAGTAAATAATTTACTCAAGGTGCAGTCCTTTTTGGATCTATGTTTGTGAAGATAATATAATTCGGGGCTGTTTCCGCGTAATATCATTGAAGTGGTAGGGACTGGCTGGCATTTAGGTGGGCTAGCCGAGGAGTGTTTTGGATGTTTTGTTCGTCTGATCCGTATATTCGGACGGCAGCTTTGCACTTTAGTGGGCGGCCAGATCAAGAAAGGCGACGCAGCGGGCAACTGCAGCCAGTGACGCCTTCAACCAAAAGAGTTGACCTCGCATTTGCTGTCCATCGTCATCAGTGGAGAAAAACCACCACAACTTGAGTAGTCTGCACAAAAAGAAAATGTCGTTTCTCGTTTGAGTTGATGTGGTCATTGGTACTACAGTATGTTGCTCGTCTAGCTTTGACGTTTACACCTGCGTGTGGGTAAGGGCAAGACTACGAGCATGACCAACGCTCTACCGTGGAGCAGTCGTGGACGAGGTCCAGAAAAAAAATATCACTGCTTGTGCAGAACCTATGTGTGGTATGCGGAGGAAGAAGAGCGTAGTCCACGAGAAAAGCAGTCGTACAGGGGAGGGAAAATGAGCGTGCACAAAAATTCCTTGGACGAACGAAGCAATGGACGTAGAGGCAGGGTTACTCCCGAGCTCCATCCTTCGTAGCCGCCGGATTCATACGGTGGCAATAGTGGCGGACCCAGAAATGAAAGGAGGGTCTGCACGGTCGAGGCCTATTTTAATTGGCTTGGAGTCAAGGATGAAAGTTGCAATTGGACTGAATTTCACTCGATGGTGTAAAGGTCGGCGAGGCCTGAATTTCACTACGGAACGCGGCCTACACACAGTCGTGCCATCTCCTCGTCAATCCTCCCTCTGAATTTCATTGGGTGGACTCCCCTTGCTCTCAAAAACGGTTGTGGTACGACCTCACAGTCAGAGCAACTCCATATCTCCCGCATAACGGCTACTCCCCCTGTCCATAATGTATGCAACACTTTTTTGATGCTACACTAGTGGCAAAAAACTGGACCTCCATCCTACTCTCCTCGAGGTGCTCCAGCACCTGGGCTTCGGTCCACGCTGGCGCAACTGGACCTCCATCCTCCTCTCCACGGCCAGGGCGACCCCGTGTCCCCCATGCTCTTTGTGATTGTCATCGACGTCCTTAACCGCCTCTTCCAGCGCGCCACCTCTCTGGGGCTCCTACGCCGTCTCACTGACCGTCATATGGCCTCTAGCATCTCTCTCTACACGAACGACGTCGTACTATTTTGCCACCCCGACGAACGCGACCTCTCCATGGCGCGCCGCATTCTTGAGATGTTCGGCACCGTCTCTGGCCTCCGCACCAACCTTGCCAAATGCGCGGCCATCGCCATCCGGTGCCCTCCCGAGCTCCGTGGGTACATCTCCGACCACTTCCCGTGCGCAATCGGCGAGTTCCCCGCCAAATATCTTGGCCTCCCGCTTTCCATTCGGAAGATCACTGCCTCTTTCCTCCAACCCTTCGTCGAAAAGCTGGAGAAAAAACTCTCCCCATGGTGGGCGTCCTTGCTCTCCCGCGGCGAGCGTTTGGCCCTCCTCCGTCACGTGTTCTGCGCGATGCCCACGCACATCCTGATCGCCTTGTCTCTGCACCCCTCCATCCTTCGCCAGGTGAATCGCCTCCTCCGTGCGTTTCTCTAGCAAGGGCGGAAGACCACCAATGGAGGCCACTGCCTCGTCAGCTGGGCCAAGGTTTGCCGCCCCTTGGCATGCGGCGGCCTTGGCATTCCCGATCTGCAGCGTTCCGCCCACGCCCTACAAGCCCGATGGCTTTGGCTGCGCAAAACGGACCCCACCCGCCCCTGGCAGCATCTTCACATTCCTTGCAGCCCGGTCGTCAAGGCCATCTTTCGAGCTTCTACCTCCTGGACGACCGGCGATGGCACCACCTGCCTTTTTTGGGAGGACCACTGGATCGACGGGCTCTCCATCGCAGAGCTGGCTCCGCTTTTCCACGCCCTCGTCCCTCGCCGACTTCGCAGGGTCCGCACCGTGGCCGCGGGCCTTGCCTCCCGTGCTCGGATCCAGGACGTGCAGGGCCATCTCTCCCCGGGGGGCTCGTTCAATACGTCATTCTCTGGACGCGGCTCCATCAGGTCACGCTCTCCGCCTCACCAGACGCCCTCACCTGGCGCTGGACCCCGAGTGGTGTCTACTCCGCCAAGTCGTGCTACAAAGCCCTGTTCGTCGGCTCTACTATCGAGCCCTCCTGGCGCCTCACCTGGAAATCCTGGGCACCCCTACGCATCAAGATCTTCATCTGGCTCGCCTTCCAGGGACGATGCTGGACCGCTGATCGACTTGCTCGCCGCGGCCTCACCCACGCCCCTCTCTGCCTCCTCTGCGACCAGGAGCCCGAGACCATGGCGCACCTGCTCGCGGGCTGTGTCTTCTCCAGGCAAACCTGGCACGAAGTCCTTTCTTGGATCCGGGTCCCTAACATGCCTCTACCACCCCAGGCTGTGTTTTCGTGACTGGTTTGCCCAGTCCGTCGAGGACACCCCCACCGCCCTTCGTCGCGGTTTAGCCTCGCTCATCTTGCTCATAGCGTGGCGTATCTGGAAGGCGAGAAACGCTTGCGTCTTCAACGGAGCAACCCCATCTATTCCGCTCCTCGTGCACGACATCAAGGAAGACGCCCGCAACTGGGCCGCCGCCGGAGCCAAGGGGCTCAGCAACATGCTCCCGCCTGCGTAGTTTCTTTTTAGGGGGCGCGCAATCCCCTCTTTGTGCGTGCGCCCTTGTAGTTCTCGCTCACACCCTTGGCGTACGTGCTTGTGAGACCTACCCTGTAACTGCTGCTGTTCTTTTCTTCTATCAATGCAATGATAGGCAAAGCTTTTGCGTATTCGCGAAAAAACTAGTGGCAAAAAATGTCTTACAATATGATACGGAGAGAGTATCATTTATCAGAAGCTGAGGCAGCCCGCTTCCGTGGGGCGCGCCGTGTCTCGGGAGATCAAGATCGGCCGCCGTGATCTAGATTTTTTTAAAACACCTGAATAACTAGGGATGAACGAATCCCTGGTAAGTGTGAGAAATTATCTGTAGGGATATTCATGTGGCAGAGAACAATATGATAGTAAGCTCAAAGGATTCTCGGGACAACAGAGAGTATTTGGGGGCATTTTGTAATAACAAGAGCAACGGGGAATGTTTGTATTTATGGCAAGTGTATGTAGTTTTTCATAGGGGTTGACGGTGGAAGGGAATTGCAAAAGCGATGAGCACAAGTTCTCGGGAGAACATCAGAGAGTATCTTTGAAGTCTTCTGATGAAGCAGGCGATCATATGGAATGAAGGGGCTCTCCGGGAGGAAGTAGTTACGAGAACCTAGAGTTGGAGTTAGTAAAATTGTTTAACCCGAATAGAAAAGAGATCAGAATCGCAGAGTAAGGACAAGGAATAAAAGATGCTAATACCACCCAATAGCGATGTGGGCCCGTAAGACACACAACCATGTTAGTAAATGTTTTGCAATGTCTAGACTCAACTTCGGCCAATGAGTATGGAAGGGGGATTCCTACAGGCACTCGGCTCTAATACCAACTTCTGACACCCCCGATTTGACCGTACACTAATCATACACGCAAACGTATACGATCAAGATCAGGGACTCACGAGAAGATATTACAACACAACTCTAGGCACAAATTAAAATAATACAAGCTTTATATTACAAGCCATGGGCCTCGAGGGCTCGAATACATAATCTTGAATACACAAGGGTCAGCGAAAACAACAATATCTGAGTACATGCATAAGTTAAACAAGATTGCCTTAAGAAGGCTAGCACAAAAGTAGCAATGATCGAAAAGGCAAGGCCTCCTGCCTGGGACCTCCTAACTACTCCTCGAAGTCGAACTCCACGTAGAATCATCCTCGGGATCATCTGGCTTCTGGACTCCATCATATGATCGCAATATCCGGAAAAGGGGGAAAAGAAATAGCAAATGAACCGTGAGTACTCATCCAAAGTACTCGCAAACAAGGATCTACACTACATATGCATCGATATCAATGAAATGGGTAGTATATGTGGACTGAACTGCAGAATGCCAGAATAAGAGAGGCATAGCTAGTCCTATCGAAGACTATGCTTCTGGCAACCTCCATCTTGAAGCATGTAGAAGAGAGTAGCAAGTACAACATCAAGTAGGATCGCATAGCATAATCCTACCTGGAGATCCTCTCCTCGTCGCCCTATGAGAGAGCGATCACCGGGTTGTATCTGGCACTTGAGAGTCACTGGTACGCGTTAGTCCTAAACAAATGGGTTTTAACCCCTTTCCGCGACGGCATTCAGAACCGTCCCCAAGTGAGTGTGGGCGATAGGGGATTCCTTCCCACACGACCCATAAACCATTGCGGATATGCCCTCCTGGCACACACGCTCGGCAAAATGAGGTCGTGTGCGACCGGCGAGCACTTTAATACAGAAATACGTACAGTAGTGCTCAAAAAATACAATTATACATGCGAAATCATTTCTGGTCGTAAGTACATCCCACACAGTCAGTCACCACTAAACGTTTCCCTTTCTATATACATCCCACACAGTCACTACAAGGAAAACGTTTGCGCAAGGTGGCGTAACGCAAACAGTTTTGAAGAGAATGTCGTGTGTGATTGTTCATTAATCCAACACAGTTTATTCCTAAAAATTGTGTGCGTTGCCTGAGGTCATCGCCCACGGTGTTTTCTCATTAACCGTTTGCAATAGGAAAACCCAATTTGCAAGCTAATTGGCCAATTAGCGGGCTAATCGCCCTATTATTAATAATCCATTTACTAACTAATTGACATTCATATTAAGCACATAATATATTCCATTTCCATATTA